GCTGACCCCCATGTCGAATATCCTGTGGAGCAGCAAACAAGGGGAGATAAAAAAACTATAGAGGAAGGCACCTTCCAATGTCCTAAAGATGAAGCCATACCAGGAACCATCCCTGTAGATGCATATCAAAATAAATAAAACAGAAGAAAGTGGAAAAATTGGGATACAACCATATCTTTTGATGGAAACAATATGAAATAAAAGGGAGGGAAAAATCATGCTCTATGTTAGCCAGGATGCTGACCTTAATTTCCTCTAAGATTACTCTGTTATTACGTATTAAAATCCTACCATCTCCCAACCATGACATGAATGGACAAATGTACACTGACACTCTTGGTCAATATCAAAACGACCTGTAAACCCTCAGAATAGCCTTTCTTTAAAAAAGAGCCTTGGCTCCATGACAGTTAAGTAAATGACTAACAGAAAGTATGGCAGTTCAAACCCATTCAACCTGGTGATCTGCACCAGTAAAAATTGCAACTAAGAAAAACTTATGAGGGGCTTCCACTCTGCCATATGGGGGTCACACTGTGTAAAAATGGACTCTACAGTCTATCACAATCATAAACGGGAGGCAAAGCTAGAAAGTGTGGGTGTGTCTGAGGGTAAGCCACAAATGGAACTATTGTCTCACTCCTTGATATCTGTACCCCAATTCTGTGCCTCTCTGCATATTAGCTTGTGGTATTGGGGTTTTACCCTGAATGTCCCTACCCTTCAACTTATATTTCATAACCTTCATTAAGTGTGTCTGACTACCTCTCTTTCCTTCTGGTTCGGATTTTAGATTTCACTTAGTTGTTCTCCCATAGAGGTCTCTGCATAGTGCAGAAAGTTTTCGCTCCATACAAACTAAAAGTTGGGCAATACAAGTCCTCCTTGTGAGGATGCACAAAAAGCCTTCTATGGAGAGTGGAGGGGGTAAAATGCCGTGGAGCAGTTCAGCTCTGTAACATATGGGTTACAAGAAACTTGAATCAACATGACAGCAACAGCTTTGGTTATTTCTGGTTCTCCTGTGGATCTGACATTTCCTGCTTCTCCCCAACCTCTTCAGCTCTGGCTACAATTTGCACACCCTACCTGCTCCAACTTCCCAGGAAACGCATCTGGGTCTCATTTTTCCTTGAGGAGGATTTCTCTGGATTAGAACAACTTCTCACAGAAGTGCTTTCTTTTGGACCTGGATCTCCATAGCATTGATTATCTACACTGTTCAATTTCAGTTTGCCTGTAGTTAGAAAGTTAGTAAACGGGAAAGCAGGATTCAAAGCCTGTATTTGTCTGCTTCACTTCTCTTTTGCTATACCTACAGCAGCGATTCTCACTCTTTGGACTGCCTATTTTACCATCAGGTTTGTTTGTTAAGAATTCAGAAGTCTAGGCCCATCTTAGAACAGATTTTTTTTTCAGAGCAAAGCCTATAACTCTGAATTTTAATAAACTCCTTAAGTTATTATTTTTAGAAAAAATTTCCAAGAGGGAGTCAATTGAATAGAACAAGGGAATATTGTTGAATAACTTTAAGTCAAGCACAACTCATAGTAACCCTAGGAACAAAAGGCCTAAGGCCCCTCTACAACTATCCACATTTCTCAAAGTTCATACAGGTTCTGGAGGCATGTTGTTTAGGAAGTGGATGCCACTCCTGCTTCCAAAGCTGTCATAGTATGTTACTGGTTGAGTCACCTGTGATGCTTACCAAACTTAAGTACAGCAGCTCTGAACCCTTCCTTGTCCTGAGCCAGTCTCACTAACTCTGACACACCAACCCTTATTGTCCCAGTCACTGTATCAATCCATCTCTTCTGTAGTCTCTCTCTCCTGCGCTGTCCATTCACCATTCTGAGCATGATGTCATTCCCCAAGAACAGATCTCGCCTGGCCACATGACCAAAGTAAGTGAGGTAGATCCTTTAAAGTCCTAGACTCCAAGAAGAGACTTGGTTTTACCCTCTTCAAGATAGACCTATTTGTTTTTTGTTTTCTTGGCAGTCCATGGTATGTTCAAAATTCTGCTCCAGAACCACAACTCAAAAGCAGCTATTCTTCTTCTGTCATCCTTAGTCATTGTCCAGCTTTCTGAAGCATAACAAGTAATTGAGAAAACCATAGCCTGGATCAGGCGCATCTTTGTACCTAGAGTGACATCCTTGCTCCTCAGCATTCTGGAGAGGTCCATGACAGTAGATTTTCCCAATACAATTTGTCTTTTGATTTCCTGACTGCTGGTGTTAAGAGTGTTGATTGTGGATCTGAGCAAGCTGTAATTGCTAACAACCTCAATCTCTTCTCCATCTATTATGGTGCTGAAAATTGGCCCAGTGGTAGAATCTTTATCTTCTTGATGTTGAGCTTCAATCCGTATTGAAGACTACAGTCCTTGACCTTCTTCAGCAAATGCTTCAGGTTCTCATCAGTTTCAGCAAGCAAGGTGTGTCATTTGCATATCACAGATTGTTAATAAGTCTTCCTCCAATCTTGATGCCATACTCCTCCTTATAAAGCCCTGCCTCCAGAATGATCTGTTCTGCATACAGATTGAAAAGGTACGGGGATAGGATGCACGCCTTTCTTGATTTTGAACCATGCAGTGCTTCCTTGCTCTGTTCTGAGGACAGCTTCTTGGTCCCAGTGTTGGTTTCATATAAGCATGATCAAGGGTTCTGAGATTCCCATTTTTCTCAAGGTCAGCAACCATTTATTGTGATCCACACAGTCTAATGCCTTTGCATAGTCAATGAAACACAGACGGACAATCTTCTGGTACTCTCTGCTTTCTGCCAAGATCTATCTGGCATTGGTAGTTATGTCCCTACTGCCACGACTTCTTCTAAACCCAGCCTGCATTTCTGATAGTTCTTTGTCAATGTACTATGCAAGTTTTTGGATAATCTTCAGCAGGATTTTGTGAGTGTGTGATATTAGTGATATTGTTTGATGATTTCCACACTGTGTTGGGTACAAGCACAATCAACTGTTCTGAGGAAGGAATTGTTGGAGTAGTTCAATATCAGCAATGAAAACTATGCCAGGTGCATATTGTGGACTAGATCACCAACTGCTCATATGCAAGTTCAAGTCAAAACTAAAGAAGGTTACATCATATCCACAGGAATCAAAATTTGGCCTTGAGTCTATCTTCCATGAATTTAAAAACCAACTCAGGAATAGGTTTGAGGCCTTCAACACTAATGAACAAAGACCAGATAATCTGTGGGAATATATCAAGAATATTATTCATGAAGAATTCAAAACGTCTTTACAAAGAAGGAAAAAGAAGAAAAGAACAAACTAATGTCAAAAGAGACTCTGAATATTAAACTAGAGCACTTAGAAGCCAAAGCAAAGGGAAGAAATCAAGCAGTTAAGGAGTTGAATAGAAGATTTCAAAGGGCCACTCAGGAAGACAAAGCAAAATATTATAATGAAATGTGCAAGGAGCTGGAATTAGAAAATCAAAAGAGCCAAACTCGCTCTGCATTTCTTAAGCTGAAAGAACTAAAGAATAAATTCAAGCCACAAGTTGCAATGCTTAAGGATGTTATGGGCAGAATATTGAACGATTCAGGAAGCATTAAGTGAAGATGGAAAGAAATATTGTATGATTTAAAATCAGTATAAAAGTATATCAGGGTTCCATCTTTTCTTTGTATTTATTCATTTTTTGTGCTGAGTAAATAGTCCAATAATGACCAAATGATGAAGAACAGGCTATCAAGACTGGAGGAAAATTCATTAATAACCTGTAGGACACAGATTACACAATCTAGCTTGAAGAAAGAAGAGTAGTAGGCTTGAAGCACTTACTGAAGAAGATCAAAGACTACAATCCTCAATATGTATTATATGTCTCAACATAAAGAAAACCAAAATTTTCACAAATAGACCAATAAACAAATGATGATAAACAGAGAAAATGTTGAAGTTGTCAAGGATTTAATTTTACTTGGAACCATGATCAATACGCATGAAAGCAGCAGTTGAGAAAGCAAATGACACTGGATCTTTTCCCTCTCTTTCAAAGTGTACAACCCTAAAAAAAAAAAATTGTACAACCCTATGATTTGTACCTCCCCCAAACTTTGTAAGTAAACCAATATAAAAGAAAAATTTTATTTAAATAAATCAAATGACATTACATTGGGTAAATCTCCTGAAAAATATCTCTTTAAAGTGTTAAAAAGCCAAGATATCATCTTGAGGACTAAGGTGCACCTGACCCAAGCCAAAATATTTTCAATCACCATATGTGCATTTGAGAGCTGAGCAAAGAACAAGGAAGACTGATGTAGAATCGATGCTTTTGAATTGTAGTGTTGGTGAAGAATATTTAATTATACCATGGATGAACAGAAGTAAAAAAGGAAATCTGTCTTACAAAAAGAACAACCAGAATGTAAATAAGTACACCCAGAATACAGACAAGAATTAAGAGACTTCATCTCACATATGTCGGTCATGTTATCAGAAGAAACCAGTCCTTGGGGAAAACCATTACGCTTGGTAAAGAAGGTCAATGGAAAAGAAAAAGATCCTTAATAAGATGCATTAACTCAGTGACTACAACAATGGGCTCACACGTAGCAACAACTGTGGAGATCATCCATAATTCATTCAGTTGTACAGTCACTCTGAAGCATAACAGACGTAACAGCAAGCATCTAACAGCAACAATAGCATTGACAGGAGTCCCAACATGGTATAAACAGTTAATATGCTTAGTTGCTAATGGAAAGGTTAGAAGTTTGAATCTATCCAGAGAGCCTTAGGTGAAAGGCTTAGCAATACTAGTCCTTAATGCAGCAAAATTCTAATCAGTCAAATCAAAGGCAAATGACAACCTGTAGTTTGAAAACAGTTACACTACAATAGAAAGACTTTCAACGTAAACAACTTCCCATCTGTGAAGCCCTCATATCTCACGCCATCATCCCTGAATGTCTGTAGAAGAGGGGAGGGAGAAGGAGACATCATAGGCTGGACCACCTTACTTCTCAAATCTCCCACAAGAGTCAGCGAGCTCAGATGCCTCTGGAAGGCTTGCCCCAAATCTCGAAATTGCACTCCTTTCAGGTAGACCCGGCTGGGCTCCTCAGGGAAGGACTGGATGATGACTCTGGCCCCAAAGTCTATGGATCCTAACATCTTCTCACTCTTGAAATACAGACAGTCTTGTGAATTACCTAAAAAAAAAGAATGATGTCAAAGAGCCTTAGAGCATGTCAAATGTGCTTCAGCATAAAGAACAAGTGACTATTGTTTGTTTCATTTAAAAATTTAGTTGAAAGTATTCGTTAGAATTTGTATTTGCATTTTGTAAATAAACTAGCGGTGGGGGGGGATAAAAATTTAGTTCCTTTTCACTTTGATTAACCTCTGTGGATTATTAATTATAATACCCACTAACCAGGATATGGTGTGGCCTTCACTCCGTTATTTCCAGAAACACTCGAATCAATCTACTTAATTTACTGTCACAACGAAGCAAACTATAACCCACAAGTCCAAGCTAAAGAGATGCTTATTTCAATCTGAAAGAGCCCCTGGAGGGAGTGTGCAATAAAATTACCTTCTTGGGGTTGATAATAATTGTAGGGAAGAAATGTGAGCACTGAATATAATCACACCACTTTTTAGTCTGACGTTATCCAATGAAACTCTGTCTTTATTTTACTGCTTTATAGTTTGGGGATTTAACATTAAAGTGACTGAATAAATGGCCAAAAAAGTGCACAGAAAATATCTGGGTGGTCCCTGTAACAACGCTTTCTTCTCGAGCCTTGCTGCCAGCTCATCTTGGGACAACTTCTGTTATGCTTAGTGGAACTAGACTATATGAACAGAACACCTCACAGTACTATTACTATAAAGTGCTGTGACCTCAAAACCCAGGGCCCTTTCTGGTGATGTGACATTTGATTGTGTGCACTAGCCTCAGATTGGAGTAGCCATTATCTCTAGAATTGATTCTTTATTATCCACGTTAATGAGGCAGAGAAGTGTCAACATTACAAAATGATGTATTGTTCTCAGATAATTCACAGTAAATGTCAGAATCCATTCACTTGTTAATAATATCTAGAGAATAAAGCAGTGTTTTCTATGCATATGTTTTATCACAGTTCTGAGGATTTATATCCAAGATTCATGTTTTTTAGTGGACATGCCTCTAATTGTTTGATTAAGGGGCTACACTCACATGTTCTGCACAATGCAAAGAACAGGTGAGGAATGTACTGAGATTTCATCAAGGTCTGTGAATTTTATTTTGATAATTTTATAGTAACATTTAAGAGTTACAGTGAATCTAGGGTTTTGTTTTCTGGAAATGTGCAGCAGATTGATAATGTTCCAAGTCTAGAAGCTTGGCCTCACAGTATTTTGAAACACAATTTTTAACAAAATGTGATCTGAGAACCATTTGTGTGAAAAATTACCAAGAGTGTTTTAACAGAGTGCAGATTCTGACTCAGCCAATAGTTAAAGTGTGACAGTCATTGGATTGTGACCCTTTGTTACACAAATATGCATTTTTTAAAAGAATGACAGGATTGTAATGGCTGAAGAATAAACGCACGAACCACTTGCTTTTAGTAAGTCTCTATATTCAACCATAATCCAAAATCATACCCACATGCACCCAAATATAGACACATCCCAAGTCTGCATCTTTGTTCCACAAGGATTCAGAAATGACCTAATGCTTCTACTTAGACACTGCCAGGCTTTCTCTGTCACAACATGCACAAAATTAAACTCATGATGTTCACCCTCGAACCCCAAAACCTTACACTCTTCCTGTCTCGTTAAATGGCCTCATCATCCATCGAGTGCTCATGCCTGGGAGTCATCCTTGACGCCCACACCATCCTGGACCAAAGTTGACAAATGATGTCTTCACAACATGTGAAAGCCTCATAATCTACAGGCTGGAAAACCAAAACATAACCTACTAAACTAACCATCCCTGAAATAGATGTTTAATAGGCACATCAATGTGATTCAGTGCCTGTTTTTCTACTAGAAGATAAATTGACTTTTTTGACCACTTACCTAAAGAATGTAGTAGTTCACTCAGAAGTCAATGAGAGAGAAAGAGAAAGAGAGAGGGAGAGAATGAATATGTGTGCCTAAGAAAGTACTGTCAAGCCCATAACTCTGGCATTATGGGTTGTTGAGGTTTTGTTTTGTTTTTGAGAATGTTATAAGGGACGTGGCAACAGACTTAAGACTTCATTATAATCAGAAAGATTAATTCAAAAGATAATTTATATTTCTATAGACATTCTCCAGATTTAACACATTAAGAGAAAACGTTCTTCATATCTACGTAATGCTTTTCCAAGACTAATGTTGGGATGAAAGAAGCAGAAAATGATACGATATCTTATCAAGAGCATTCTTAAAACTCCAGAATAGTAGGGATGTGGTAAAGTCTAGGGTTCATCCTGTGTATTGTATAAGGTCAAGTATAACAATGTTTCATATCACCTGATAATGAGAATACTTTTTTTTAAAAAAAAGGATCTTTCTTTCTTCTTTTCCTTATCTTTCTTCTTTCTTCTACTTATTTATTTACAAAATTTGAATACATTGTTTTTCATAGAAGATCCTTTCCATTTCCTACACACACACACACACACACACACATCAAATTCTTGATAATTCATTGGATTTCCCAACAAAATACTCATCTACCTTCTAAAGCGCTGGTCTCCTGGCATGAAGCAAGGTGTCTCATCTTCTCTTTAGTAAGATTTCCTTGAATAGTAATACCTCTGCTGAGCAAAGCCACCGTGGCCTTGAAAACGAAGTGCTTTCCAGCCACCCAATTTTCTGTGAAATCATAAGAATATCTGGGGGGAGGGGGTGAGGAGAAGGAAGAAAAAGAGAAAGACAGATATGAAGAGTAAGGCGCTCAGTCGCTAGTGGTGATTTAGTTCTAACTCATGGCAAACTTCCAACTGGTTTCTGAGACTGCAGACTGCAATGAGAGGAAACTGTCTATCTTTTTCCCACGGTCTATAGAAAGCCGCACTGCTAAATCAAAGGATGTGTATCTCTGTCAGTTCAAATCCATCAGTGACTCTATGAGAGAAAGATGGGCAGGGTCCTCTCCTTAAAGGCCACTACTAATCCAAAGAGGGGTGGTTTGAATCCACTAGTTGCTCTCCAGGAGAAAGATGGGAAATCTCTCATGCAATTGGTTTACAGCCTCTGAAAACTGATTGGAGGGTCAGTTAAGAGTTATTTCTAGAAATGAGTTTAAGTTTTGAGTTTTATACATATTGTGCTATTGTAAATAACTCTCATAAAAGAATACTGTATGATTCAATTTATGATTACTTTATCAAAAATAGGTAAATACACAATGGTAACATTTATTGGTAATGTTTATTGGTGGTTGGCAAAGATGGATAGGAATGAGTGCAAAAAGAATATACTAAAAGGACATTTAGTTACTGTTAAGGATGAACAGTTGGTGATTATTGAAAAATAGGATGAGCATACTTAATGCCACTACAATATAAAAATAAAACTACTGAAATGACAAACACTTCCATATGTATGTAGACACCACAGTTTCTTTTAACATGTCTAGCAAAGTTTAATGTAAAAATAAATCTCAAACAAAAATCCACTCTTAGCACATGTAAAAATTCATTTTATTCAATCAGCATTTAGCCAAGTGGACAGCTTAATACCTCAAAGGTGAACGAAGATGGAGGTCCGCATTGTGCACCATTTCCACAATGACAATCTCTTCAACTGGTTTAGCACCTCCAACACCTATTCCCCTAATAATTACAGCTTCATCTCCAGTATGCCAGTCCACAGTATCTTCCAGAGCCAGCATTGTGTCATTGGCATTTGCAGCTGCTCGAAGATGGGTGACAGTTACTTCTGGTAGTGTACCTAAAGTAGTTCAAGAAAAAAAAAAATGCTTTAAGAGCTGGAAAATCAAGTTGCAGGATTAGTAAGTACCAACTTCTTCACTTTTTCCAAGTGGAATGCTAGTGTTCCAATTTATAATAGTGGCAATAAAAATAATCCAGGGTAGAGTGGTGGTTGTTGTTATTGTGTGCCGTTGAGTTGCCTGTGACTCATAGTGAACCTAAGTACAACAGCCCTAAACCCTGCTCTATCCTGTGCCAATCTTATTGTCTCTGACACACCTACCTCCATGATCCAGTCACTGAATTAATCCACCTCATCAAGAGTCTTCCTCTCCTGTGCTGTCCATCCTCCCAAGCATGATGTCCATCTGCAAGGACTGATCCCTCCTTGCAGCATGTACAAATTATGTCAGATGAAGTTTCAGAATCCTTGACTCCAAGGAGCATTCTGGCTTCACCTTCTCCAGGACAAACCTGTTTGTTCTCCTAGCAGTCCATGGAATATTCAACACTCTTCTCCAGCACCAGAGCTCAGAGGCATCACTTCTCCTATTGTCTCTAGTCATTGTCCAGCTTTCTGAAGCATAGCAAGTAATTACAAAGACTATAAAAATCCTAGTTTTGCCATATTTTAACCAAGTAACCACATGTGTAGGCTTCAGCATCTTTAGTTACAAAGTAAAAGGTAGCAATCTCTTACCTCACAGACATGAATGAAATCAAATGAGGTAAAATCTAGGACATATTTAGCTTAGACTTTGCCTTATAATAGACCATCAGCATATACTACTCTTCCATTCCTTCTTTCTATCATTCTATTTTGGGGAGTAATTGATTCCATTTTCTCTTATCCCAAAGAAAAATGAAAGTTTCCTTGATTCTGATCTTGAAGTTCAACATTATTTTCCAAACTGAATTTCTCAATTTACGTCACTATGTACAAATAGGGTAGAAATTCAAACTCACCTTAACATTGCTGTCCTAAATCTTGGTGCATGAAATTACCGCTCCCAACTCTAATATCTAATATATTTAGGGCAGAGTTTGAAGCTATTTGAAAAGTGGAAATCTGTGACTCTATATATCTTGGCTTATAATAGGCTCAAATGCATCTCCTCCATTCCTCCCCACACAGGCATACTAGTTCTTAACTATGAAAGACTGAAGAAGGTAGTCTTAGCTCACAGTTTATTCTGGCCTTTTCTAATAAGAGTCAAAGCTGAATGGTTTTTTTCAGACCATTATCTAAAGCAATACCTCAGAAAACACATAGCTTACTCTCAACTCCTTCCTCTTTCTTTAGCGTGTTTCCTTTCTCCTTTGCAATAGATCATAATTTACCCTTAGCCCACAGCAAGTTACTGTCCTCCCTTGTTGCACTAAAGTAAAGTAATAAGACTTGAATCGCTAACTACAGAAGTGGAGGACAATAAATCATTTTCAAATTATTTTAAACTTTCCTCTTTATTTATTTGCGTGTGTGCGGGAACTTGCACTAACCATGTTGTTTTAGGCTCAGCAAGGTCTTTGGGTTAATGATACAATTTCTAAAGTTTACTTGGGCAATAATTTTATCTTGAAAAATATTTACAGAGTTCAAAATGTCTAATTATAGGGCAGGTGGAAATTAAGACATAAATCATCCCAAAAAGAAAATAATTTTAATTTTATTCTGTGTTTGTATGTTTTAACCTTTGGGAACAATAAAATGAAATAAAATTTATTTATATGTATATGCATGTATATATGTGAATTTCAATGATCCATTCCTGAATGTCTGCAAAGAAATGTTGCTACCAAGCACAGGAAAATGTTAACCAAAGATCAAATGCTAACAAATGTTTTATCAATTGTTCACAATACTCAATTGTTGTTGTTGTTGTTATGTGCTGTCAAGTCGCTTGCAACTCGTAGCGACCCTAGGTACAATAACCCTAAACCCTGCTCTATCCTGCACCAATCTCACTGCCTCTGACACACCCATCCTGATTACCACAGTCACTGAATCAATCCACCTCATAGAGGGTCTTCCCCTTCTGCTCTGTCCTTCCACCCTCCCAAATATGATGTCCCTCTCCAAGGACCTGTCCCTCCTTCCAACATGTCCAAAGTATGTCATACCAAGCCTCAGAATCCTTGCCTCCAAGGAGCAGCCTGGTCTAACCCTCTCCAGGATGAATCTGTTTGTTTTCTTGGCAGTCCAGGGAACATTCAATACTCTTCTCCAGCACTAAAGCTCAAAGGCATGAATTCTCCTTCTATCCTCCTTAGTCATTGTCCAACTCTCTGATGCATAACATGTGATTGCAAAGATCATGGCCTGTATCAGATGCACTTTAGTCTCCAGAGTGACACCATTGCTCTTCAGTACCCTGGAGAGGTCCCTAACAGCAGACTTTCCCATGGCAATGCGCCTTTTAATTTCCTGGCTACTGGTGCCAAGAGTGTTGACGACGGAACCAAGCAGACTAAAGTTGTTAACAATCTCAATCTCTTCACCATCCATCCTGATGCTGTCAATTGGTCCAGTGGTGAGAATCTTTGTCTTCTTAACATTGAGCTTCAATCCATACTGAAGACTCAATTAACATGCAATAAACTAAGGACAGCTAGGATACAAGCTGAACATGAAAAAACCAAGAGTAGAAGTAACAGCATTCTCAATTAATTATTCTTAATTAATAATAAGCAACAATAAATGAACAAAATCACATAATATATTTGCAATTCATGTTTAACATAAACCAAGGACATTTTTAAGTTCCCTTAACTTGTGTGTGTTCAGATATAGACTGGTGGTTAGAGCGCATCCAGCAATGCCACAGACAAAAGGCAGGCAATGGTTTGAAAGAACATTTGGCTTTGATTCTTATTACAAAAGACTAGAATAAACTCAGATAAGACTACATTTTTCAGTCTTTCATAGTTAACAACTAGTATGCCTGTGTGGAGAGGAAGGGATGGGATGCACTTGAGCCTAATATAAGCCAAGATACATAGAGTCACAGCTTCAAAGACTACTATCACCAAGAAAACCCTACAGAACTAAGTTCCACTCTGTCACACATGGAGTTTATAGGCAGTAATAGTCACAGGCTGAAGGAGTCCTGAGAAACTCCTTGAAGTCTCAATGAGACCTGAGAAAACTTGAGTTGCATAGCCTGTGATGTTTAGAAGTACGCTGGGGTTGACCTTGATGCGTAGCAAATCTACTTACAAAAGAATGAAACCCTGCCTCATCCTGTATTATACTCACAGTCCTTACTGTGCTTAAAGTCATTTTGAGTTAATACATCTCACTGAGGGTCTGTTCTTGCTTTCATTGACTCTCTACATTTACAAGCACAAGGTCCTTTTCCAAGAAATATCCTTTTCTATGCTAAAAGAAATGTAAGAAGCCTTAGTATCCTTAATTTTAAGAGGCATTGGAGCTGTTCTTCTTCCAAGAAATGCTTGTTTGTTCTTTTGGCAGTCTATGTTCTACACAGTATCCTTCAACAACACTATAATTGAATGGCATGAATTATTTTGTTGTTGTTGTTGTTGTTGTTGTTGTTGTTGTTGTTAGGTGTCAATGAGTTGAGTGCAACTCCTAGTGACCCTAAGAACTAAACACCTGAACTCTATTCTATCCTCTACCATCCCCATGAGCTCTGAAACACTTGAGCCTATTGCTGTAGTCACTGCGACTGGACTGCCCTCTCAATGGAGGCCTTCTCCTTCACTGACCCTCCTTCTTTCCTAGCATGATGTCCCTTTCAAAGGAGTAGGCCCTCCTTGAAGCATGCCCAAAGTATGAGAGATGAAGCTTTGCCACCTTTGTCTCCAAGTCAAGGAGTGTAAGGTGCATTATGATTGTACTTTTTCTAAGACATACTCATTGCTCTCTTGGGGCAGTGCATGGGATATTCAATACTGTCTTCCAACATCACAACTCAAAGCCATCAATTCTTCTGTCATCCTTATTTATTGTTTAGCTCTCAGATGGGGAGTAAGTGATTGAAAAGACCATAACTTGCATCAAGCTTCTCTTTGTCTCCAAACTGACATCATTGCTTCTCAGTATTTTGGAGAGGTTGCTGATTAATTGTGGATCCAAGAATAATGAAACTACTAATAACATCCAACTTTTCTTGGTTTATCATTATATTACTTAGTGTTGTGAGGATTTCTGTTTTCTTTCTTTTGATGTGTAATCCACAGTGAAGACTGCAGTCATTTATATTCTTCAGGAAGTGCTTAACATCCCTTTCATTTCCAATAAGAAAAGTTGTGCCACCTGCATATCACAGGTTATTAATAAACCTTTCCCCAAACCTAATGACATATTCTACTTTATATATATTCAAGTTTCTTGAATTATTTGTTCAGCATACAGATTGAATATGTATAGAAAAAGAAACAGCACACTTTAAAAATTATCTTCAGTCCTTTATCATCATCTTGTTCTGCTAAACAGTGCTAACATATTTTAAACCTTGTAAGTATCTCCTTATTTAGCTTCATGGTATATATACAAGTTCTACATGAGCTTCTTGATGATGACTCTTTGGTTTTCAATCCCATCAAAGCAGAATCATGTAACTGTTGTTGTTGTTGATGTTATGTGCCGTCGAGTCG